GGAGGAGGAGGAGGAGGAGGATGAGGAGGAGGAGGAGGAGGTGGAGGAGGAGGAGGAGGAAGAGCAAGAGGAGGAGGAGGAGAAGGAGGAGGAGGAACAAGAGGATAATCATGAGGAGGAGGATGATTAACACTAATAGTAATACGACTACTTATAACACTAGTAGTACTAGCAGTAATAACAATAGTAGTAATAATAAAAAAGGATTCCACTGCTAATACTGCTAATACTAATACTACTAATACTAATGCTAACACTATGCTAATCATAATAACCATACCAGTACTGCTAATACACATACTAGTACTACTAGGAAGAATACCACTAACAATAATAATACTAATACTACCAAGAAGAAGGATACTACTACTACTACTGCTAGAACTAGAACTACTACTACTACTGCTACTACTACTACTAATACTAATACTAGCAATAAAATTAATACTAATACTAATACTATTACTACTAATAATACTAATGCTGGTGATTCTAGTACTAATACTAATAATAAAATAATAATTAATACTATTACTAACAATAATAATACTAATAATGATACTACTACTACTACTACTACCAATACTGATAATACTAATAGTGGTAATAATCATACTGATACTATTACTAATACTAGTAATACTAATAAGAACACTATTATTAATAATAGAAATACAAACAATACTCATAATATTAATAGCAGTAATACTAATATTAATAATAATAACAGTAAACACAATACTAATAATACTAGTAATATTAGTCATAATAATAATAAGACTAATACTAAACATACTACTAATAATACTAATATTAATACTAATAGTAATACTAATAATACGGATAATAATAATATATAATTAATAATAATATTAATCATCATAATACTAATAATCATAATACTCATAATAATAGTAATACTAAACATACGAATGATAATCATACTAATCATAATAATCATATTATTAATAATAAGACTAATACTAGTAGTGATAATGATAATAGTAATGATAATTATAATAAGAAGAAGAATGCGACTAATGAAAATCATAATACGAAGAATAAGAAGAAAAAGAGGAGGAGGAGGAGGAGAAGGAGGAGGAGGAGGAGGAGGAGGAGGAGGAGGGAGAAGAGGATTGAGGAGGAGGAGGAGGATGATGATGAGGAGGAGGAGGAGGAGGAGGAGAAGGAGGAGGAGGAGGAGTGGGGAGGAAGAAGAAGGATATCGAGGAGGAGGAGAAGGGAAGGGGAGGAGTAATTAGGGAGTGGAGGAGGGGAGTGGGGCGGAAACAGAGGATTAGGAGGAGAAAGGAGGAGGGAGGAGGGAGGATGGAAGAGTGAGGAGGGAACCTGCTCAGCGCCCGGCTTCGGTGCTGGATGTAGTGCGGCGTCGACCAGAGCAGTCGCGAGAAGAGGGAGGAGGGAACGGGAAGCGCATCAGCAGGAACATGATCAGACGCAGCAGCAGGCATCGGAATAGAAGGAGGAGGAGAGGGAGGAGGAGGAGGAGAAGGAGGAGGAGGCGGAGGAGGAGATGAGGAGGAGGAGGAGGAGGAGGAGGAGGAGGAGGAGGAGGAGGAGGAGGAGGTGGAGGAGGAGGAGGTGGAGGAGGAGGAGGAGGAGGAGGAGGAGGAGGAGGAGGAGAGAGGGAGGCACCCCTGTGAGCGGGAAACCGACTCGGGTGAGCTGGCCCGAAGGCGCTTCACAGTGCACCAACAGCTGAGGCCGGAGCCAGGAATGGAAGGAGGAGGAGGCGGAGGAGGAGAAGGAGGAGGAGGAGGAGGAGGAGACGGAGGTGGAGGAGGGAGGAGGAGAAGGACAAGCAGGAAGACAAAACGATCATGATGATGATGCTGCTGCTGCTGCTGATGATGATGATGATGATGATGATGCTGATGCTGATTCTGATGATGATGATCATGCTAATGATGATGATGATGCTGATGATGATGATGATGATGATGATGATGATGATGATGATGCTAATGATGTTGCTGCTGATGATGATGTTTATACTGATACTGATGATGATGGTGATGATGAGAATGAGGGTGATGCTGTTACTGGTGCTGCTGCTGATGATGATGCTGATGATGATGCTGATGATGGTGAGGATGATGCTGCTGATGATGATGATGCTGATGATGCTGCTGCTGATGATGCTGATGATGCTGCTGCTGATGACGATGGTGATGATGAGAAGAGAGCGTCCCGCTCTCCTGCTAGTTGCTCGTCCTGCCTTGCTGTGCTTCTTCTCCTCTTCCACCTGTCGTCCCCCCTCGTTCTTCGCGTGCTCCGGTGCCGTCTCCTCGTCCGCTCTGGCGCGCAGTTGTATTCGAGGAGACCCACAGCGGCATGAGCATGGCCTTCTGTGGGTCCGCGAGGATCTCTTGTGTCGGCGCTGGATCCCCCCTGTCGCCGGCTCTGGCCTCTCCCCAGGCGCGCTCCGCGTGCCAGGGGTGCGGGGGGGGAGCCGAGCGCCGATTCAAGAAGTCCGCGCGGACCTTGAAAGTTGGTGCTTTGTCATCTGAGTTGTTGTGCCTCCATGCTTTCCCCTCTCTCCTCCCCCTCATCCACATCACCCCCTGGGAAGGGAGCGTGTGGCCAGGACGGCATCCGGCAGGCGGCGGCAATGGCAAGGCGGGGTCTGAGACGCCAGACCCGGTGCCGGAAGAGCTTGTGGAGGACTCCTTTGCGTCCCTCCCTGCAGGGTGGAGGAGAGGGAGGAGGAGGAGGAGGAGGAGGAGGAGGAGGAGGAGGAGGAGGAGGAGGAGGAGGAGGAGGAGGATGAGGAGGAGGAGGAGGAGGAGGAGGAGGAGGAGGAGGGGAAGGGGCAATAATGAGCGAGCAGGGAGGGGAGGAGGTGGGAATAGGTCGGAGGTGGAGGGAGTAGAGCGGAGGAGAAGGAGCAAGGCTGTGTCAACGATTAACAGTATTCAGGGTGTGTGTGTGTGTGTGTGTGTCCTGGCCAAGACCGCCACCGACCCCACCAGGGATGGTTTCCCGCTCCGCACCAGCACCGTCTGCCGCTTTTCCCGCCCCGAAGTCACCTTGGAGGCGGCGCGACATCTCACCATGGACCACAGATGGAAGACCACCGGCTACCCGAAGCCCGTCAACAAGAAGCAAACGTCTGCGTTCCTCGCCCACCGCCGCGCCCTCACTATCTACAAGCTCGTGGGGCTCACGCTGGAGATGGCGGCCACCTTGTGGGGAGGAGGCCCCACTCAGACTGCTGGGATCGGCTGCCACGTCTCATCCTCGAGGAGGCCAGCCAGGTGTCGGAGGCGCTCGCCATGATCCCCATCTCCATGGCCACATCCGGCGGTGCCCCCATTGCTTTCATTGGCGACCACGCTCAACTCCCGCCGTCGTCGCGTTCGGAGACAGCCGTCGCCTTCGGGGTCGAGGTTGCCCTCCTGGAGAATTTCGAGCACCTGACTCACTTCGACGAGGGCCTGGGTCATCGCCCTCCGCGCGTGCTGCAGGATGCACCCGGGCCTCCTGCGGCCTCCATCTGGGCGTGCCGCCACGCGACGGCCTCCTCCCGTGGCCTCTCCCTCGAGGCGCCGAGCGATTTCCAGAAGCCAGCTCCAGGTTTCCAACTCTAGGCTTCCTGAATGGGGCCCGAGTAGATGGGGTCGGAGGATCGCGCCGCATCGCCGATGCATCGCCGATGCGGCTCGATGTGGGGCCCGATTTTCTCCCCGCCGACGTCGCGGATGCGTCGCTTGGTTCCAATGGCCCCCCACGCGAGCGGGTCCACGACGAGGCGGAGGAGGCCAGCCCCCCCTCCACCTCGCGTCACCCGCCCGCCGCCTCCCCGCCCGCCCTGACGCGTCAGTCGCGTGGGCAGGCCCCCCGGGCGGACGCAGCGGCTCCCGGCGGCCCTCCTCCCTGGCCTCCGACGACCGCCCTCCACGCACGCTGCGGCACCGTTTCGACGGACCTGGGGCCCCCCTTGTGGGCGTCGTCGACCGCGTCGTGTAGCGCCTAGCGTGTCTATCGGAGGGCGGCTTCACCCGATCCTGCTTAGCGTGTGCACCGATCCTGGGCTGGCGCCTCCTGGGCCCATGATCGGTGTATACACCGTCCTGGCTTGGCGAGGAAGGCATATGCACCAAGCCTTTGCCCAGGATCGACCTGGCCAGGATCGGTGCAGGTGCGTAGTTGGCGCCCTTCTTGGTCCGATTCCTTCGGATGCAGCGTCTGGGAGGTTCAACTCAGCATCGGCGCTGGTATATCCGTGGCGGAGACCCGACCTAATCTGGCACACTCCCGGCTGATCCGGCTTAGCCCCGCGTACCTGAGTCCAACTTACTAATCCAGCGTAATCATGGGGCTACTTCAGCATAGTTCATTGGGCTGAACAGCCCTGTATCGTCCTTGCGAAGACAACGATAAGGGGGGATATGCATGGGGGGTGCGCATCGACCCCCAATCGCCCACTGATCGCCGAAAGGGATCGGATAGCCCCACCCCGCCCAGGAGCTTGCGGATTCGCTTCCAGGGGGCCCGTCGCCGATCCATGGGCGATGTCTCGCCGATTCCAGGTCGAGGTGCCCCCCCCTATGCCAGTCCCCCCCCTATCGTTGCCCCTCGTCCCAGGAGGTGCCTCCTCGCGCCACACCCCTCCCAGGAGCGGGCGGATTTGCCATCGGGGGCCTATCGCCGATCCATCGGTGATGAGTTGCCGATTCCGGGTCGATGTGCCCCCCCCCGCTATGCCAGTCCCCCCCCTTAAGGTTGCCCCTTTGTCCCAGGCGTTGCCCCCTCGCCTCCCGCGCGGAGAGGAGCTCGAGGGGAAGATGCGCGAGCTGGCCAGCAAAGGGGACCCCTCCATATCGTTGCCCCTCGTCCCAGGAGCTGCCTCCTCGCCTCCCACCGCCCCGACCCGTGCGGAGAGGAGCTCGAGGGGAAGATGCACGAGCTGGCCAGCAAGGGGGACCACGCCGCCCCCGCCCCGTGCGCCCCCCCTCGCGGGCCGCTCTCGGGGGAGGGGCGCCTCGGAGACCGCCTGGAGGTCGGGACCGAGCCGGATCGAGCCGGTCGGAGCCGACACCGACTTGTACCGGTCGGATCGAGGCGGGCCCTGGCCTCGAGGCAGAGCCGAGCCCAGAGCCCCGAAGTTTTGTTTTCTGTCACAATTTGGGCCCCGCAGAGGTCTCGACCCACTCCCTGGGACTTGTTCTTCATCCCGAACCGTCTGTTCTGGGCGGTCCTGGGGCCCGGCGAGGGCTTCCCGGGGCCGAACGTGGCATGCTGAAGGTCTGCACGATCTGATGGTTCTCCGGAACCGTCCCGCGTCCTTCCTTCTCCTCGCCCCTCGCCCGCCTTCGCCCCTGTGCCTCGCTTCGTAGTGAGTGCCTCCCGCCGCTTGCTGGGCCGCCGGTTCGGTCCAACTCGCCACAGACCAAGGAAGCCTTCTTCACCACGCCAGGGCTCTGGGTGCTGTGCCCACGGCTCCGCCCGGGCCCCAGGGCTGCGCTCTGAGGCTCGGGGTGCGCTTGGCGCCTGAGCTCCTCCCCGGCGCATCCCGCCGGGGGCCTACTGCCCTCGCCGCGTGCTGCCCCGCGCTCTCGGCGGGAGGCGCGTCGGGCCAGATCCGGTGGGCTGCTCGGTGAGGTCGGCCACGAGGCGCCCCGCTGCTGGACTTGCGGGCGCAGTGTTCGAGAGGGGGCGGGGGTGGGGGCGGTCCACAACTGCTGCCTGCCCCCCTCGTCGAAAATCGGCGTCGATATCTTTCTTCTTTCCTCCCCACTCCTCCCCTTCCTCCTCCTCCTCGTTCTCCTCGTCGTCGTCGTCGTCCTCCTCCTCCTCCTTTTCCTCTCTCCTCTTCCTCCTCCTTCTCCTCCTCCTTCTCCTCCTTATCCTCCTCCTCTTCCTCCTCCCTCCCCCCTCTTCTTCTTCCTCCACCTCCTCCTCCTCCTCCTCCTCCTCCTCCTCCTCCTCTCTCTCCCTCCTCCTCCTCCTCCTCCTCCTCCTCCTCCTCTTCCTCCTCCTCCTCCTCCTCCTCCTCCTCCTCCTCCTCCTCCTCCTCCTCCTCTCTCCATCCTCCTCCTCTCTCCATTCTCCTACGGGTCTGACTCCGTCCCTGTCGTCGTCGTCGTCGTCGTCGTCGTCGCCCTTCCCCTCAAGATGGCTCGAGGTCCAGGCCCCCCCGAGAGAGCCCTCCGAAGAGCGTCGAGACTGGCGCGATGGGGCCTCCTAGTGTGAAGGCCCTGCGGCTGGCTGGTGCCGCCGACCCTGAAGGCGGGACCTCCCCCCGGGACCCCCGCTGGCGCCCTCCCCCAGGACCCGCCTGGACCCCAGGGGATGGGGGGGGGCGGTATTCTAACCGGGGACCCCCCCTACCCCCCTTCCCCACCACAGGCGGGACCTCCTCGGGGACCCCTCTCCAGGAGCCCCCCCCCCGCAGAGGGGGACCCCCCCCCTGTCCTCCATGTCCACAGGGGGGGGAGCAGGGGGGGAGGGAAGGCCGCCAGGAGCCCCTGGGGGGAGGTAATCTTACCCAGGACACCCCCTGGGTAACATCCCCTCCGTACCCCGTGCTCCCCCCATATCCCCCCCCGTCAGGGAGGGGAAAGAGGAGAGGGAATCGACTTAACTACGACGTTTCCTTTCTTTAGCTCGTTCCTGAAATTCCTTGGGACCGACGACGACGACCACTACGACGAATACGACGACAGCGTCTCACACACGCTGAAGGGTCGGGTGATTTGAACCAATCCATTGGGTTTCGCTGGAGGTACTGTAACTGCTAAAATCGAGCATTGGATTAAGAGGCCTCCTCCAGAAAAGCCGGGCCAGAGCGTCCTGGCCAACCTGCCGGAGAACCGGCCCAGCTTCTTGAGCACGTCCGCCCTACAGCCTCAACAGCAGAACCTGACCCAGGGTTGCCTCAAGAAACGTCCGGGAAGCTGGCCCACATTCCTTACACGTTGTTCATTTCTAATTCTTCGAAAGTTCTTTGATTTTCTGGGGGGCCAAGGTCCTCTCATTTCTAATTGTTTTATCCTGGGCCTCTTCCTGGCCACTAGGGGGCCAGGAAGAATTAGAAACGAGCACACTTAGAAGTGAGCACGATTAGAAATGAACGTAGTGTACATGTTGAGTTTTTTGATCACACTTCGGGCTGTACTCGCAAAGACGAGAGGGGCGCAGTCCGCCTCCTTGCGTCGCCTGGAGCCGGCCGAGCTCGCCCTTCCCCATCGTTCGTCTGGCAGCTCTGCCGAGCGGTCCAACCAGCAGTCGCTCGCGCCTGACGCAACTCGGAGGCGGCGCCCGCCCCAGAGACCGAGGAAGAGAGGACGATGGGATGAGGATTGCCGTGCTTCTCTTCTGACGGCTGTCGATGCCCACTATTTGCACACTGAGGTTCTTACAGCGCGAGGCTCCCTGACGGCTCGCAGGGTTTCTTCGGTCCTCAGGTGCGTCCGTCATCAGTTGGCAAGGCCCACCTCCCGAAGCTGACCACCAGGGAGCCTTTTTTATGTTATCGAGGATTTCAGGGGGAAGGAGGGGGAGGAGGAGGAGGAGGAGGAGGAGGAGGAGGATACTGATGCTCCAGCTCTGCTGCTTCAGTACGTGCAACGTTCGGAGGAGGAAGAGGAGGAGGAGGAGGAGGTCGAGGAGGAGGAGGAGGATGAGGAGGAATCTGATGATGATGCTGCTGATGATGGTGATTGTGATGACGATGACGATGCTGCTGATTATGATGATGATGATGATGATGATGATGATGATGATGATGTTGTTGATGATGATGATGATGATGATGCTGATGATGATGATGATTCTGATGATGAGGATGATGATGATGCTGATGCTGATGATGCTGATGATGCTGATGATGATGAGGATGCTGCTGATGATGATGCTGTTGATGATGCTGATGATGCTGATGATGATATTGATGATGCTGCTGATGATGATGCTGCTTATGACGATGATGCTGATGCTGATGCTGATGCTGATCGTGTTGACGATGCTGCTGGTGATGATGATGCTGATGCTGATGATGCTGATTCAGCTGATGAAACTTATGCTGGTGGTGATACTGCTGCTGCTGCTGCTGCTGCTGATGATGATGATGATGATGATGATATGATGATGATGCTGATGCTGATGATGATGATGATGATGATGATGATGATGATGATGATGATGATGATGATGATGATGATGATGATGATGATGATGATGATGATGATGATGCTGCTGCTGCTGCTGCTGCTGAAGGGATGATAACGACGAAGATGCTGACGCTGATGCTGCTGCTGAGGAGGAGTAGGAGGAGGAGAAGGAGGAGGAGGAGGAGGAGGGAGGAGAGGAGGGAGAGGAGGAGGAGAGGAGGAGGAGGAGGAGGAGGAGGATGAGGAGGAGGAGGAGGAGGATGATGAGGAGGAGGAGGTGGACGAGGCCTGCGCTCTCAGGACTACGTGGCGGCGGCCGCCGTGCGCGACGAGCTCTGCGCGGCGCAGTTCGACGACGAGGCACCGCGCGGGGGTCCCGACGTCGGCTGCACGGGGCGGGGCCGGGCTGGGCCGGGGGCAGCGTTAGGGCGGTGATCGGCTCAGGGGGTACGCACGGACCCCTAATCGCCCACTGGTCCCCGATAGGGGCTGAGTAGCCCAACCTGCCCTGGAGCGTGCGGAGGTCCTGGGTGGCCTACCGCCGAGCTGTCGACGATGTTTCCCCGATGCAAGCTCGATGCCGTCCGACCAGGGCGGGTCCCCCCTATGGTTTCCCTTCACTGGGGGGAACTCCCTTGACCTCCACCTTCCGAACCTGCCGCGCGGCAGGTGCCGCCGCGGCACGGCCGTGGCGGCCGCCGAGTCCGCCGCTGCGGCCTCGGCGGCATCCGCCGATGCGGCCGCGGCGGCGGCTCCCCCCCCTCTGCGCGGCACCTGCCGCGTGAAGGGTACGGAAGGGGGAGGGTGAAACGTCTCCTCTCACCCCTGTAGACCCCAAGCGCCGCACAAAGTCAGTCGCGGCAGGTTTTTCGATGCTTTCGGCCTCTGGATGTAGTTTTGCTGCCCTGGGGCCGTCAATAAATTGCTCTGGATGAAAATTTGGCCCAGGGGAAGTGGCCGAGATCCCTGGGGAGGCCCGCGCCACGGACAAACTGGGACGCTGGAGGAGAGGATCCTCGGCAGGGCTTGGGTCTGCGACAGACAGACAGCCTCCTGTGGCGTCATATTGACGGACAGAATTACGCTGAGGAGGGTTGGTCGAAGAGTTGGTCGGAAGTGTTGGCCAGGCTTGCCTGGAGTAGGCTTGAGGATTGACTGGCGTTGGCCGCAGAGCTGGCCAGGGTCAGTCTTCGATTGGCAGTTGTTCCCATATGTATGTATGTATGCATGCATGCATGCATGCATGCATGGGTGTATGTATGTGTGTGTATGTATGTATGTATGTATATATGCATGCATGCATGCATGCATGCATGTATGTATGTATGTATGTATGTATGTATGTATGTATGCATGCATGCATGCATGCATGTATGTATGTTTTTTTATGTGTGGATCAATGTATGCATGCATGCATGCATGCATGCATGCATGTATGTATGTATGTATATATGAGTGTTTTTATGCGTGTATGTATGCCTGTATGTATGTATGTAGGTTCGCAGGTTTGCATGCCTGTGTGTGTATGTATGTACGTTTGCGTGTAGGTGTGTATGTATGTATGTATGTAGGTTGGTCGGTCGGTCGGTAGGTAGGTAGGTAGGTGTGTATGTGTGCATGTGTGTCTACGTGTGCATGCATGTGGGCATACATGTATGTATGTATGTATGTATGTATGCATGCATGTATGTATGTATGTATGTATGTATGTATGTATGTATGTATGTATGTATGTATGTATGTCTGCATGTGTGCATGCATGAATGCATGTATGCATCTATGCACGTGTTCATGTATGCACGTATGTATGTATGTATGTATGTATGCACGTGTGCGCATATACATGCATGATTGTATACATGCATGCATACATGTATGCAGGCGTGCATGCATATATGCGTATCTGTTCGTTTGTTTGTTTGTTTGTGTGTATGTAAAGATGTATACATTTCTGCATCTATGTGTGTGTACGTATGTATGTATGCATGAATGCATGGAAATATGCACATGTACGTGTATACGTATGCCTGTCTGCATGTGCGTAGGTATGTAGACAGGCAGGCAGGTAGGTAGGTGGATGCGTACGTCTGTACAAATGTATGTGTGTAAGCACGTATATGTTCATGCATGTATGCATGCATGTACACATGAATGCATACATGTATGTATGTTTGTTTGACTTCTTTGCAGGTATGCATGTACGTATGCATATATGTGTGTCTGCATACATGCATGCGCGTATGCATTTACGCATATATACATACGCATGTGCATCACTGTATGTGTGTAGATAGGTAGGCGGGCAGGCAGGTAGGTAGGTAGATAAGGGTGTATGTGAAAATGTATGTATGCATGTATGTATGTATGCATGCCTGTATGTCTGCATGCGTGTCTGCATGCATGCATCCCTGCGTGCCTGCCTATCTGTCTGTCTGTCCGTCCGTCCGTCCGTTCGTCCGTCCGTCTGTCTGTCTGCCTGTCTGTCACAGGAGGAGGAGGAGGAGGAAGAGGAGGAGGATGATGATGATGATGATGATGAGGAGGAGGAGGAGGCGGAGGCGGAGGAGGGGGAGGAGGAGGAGGAGGAGGAGGAGGAGAAGGAGGTGGAGTGGGAGGGGGAGGAGGAGGAGAACGAGGAGGAGGAGGAGGAGGACGAGGAGGAGGAGGAGGAGGAGGAGGAGGAGGAGGAGGATGAGGATGTCAAGTGCAGCCTTTTGAGGCCAGATCGCTTTGTCTGTGCTCAGTCGCATCGCCCGCACTCTCCTGCCCGCCCGAGTGCATCTGCGAGCATCCGGTGGACGGCGCATGCCCTCTTCGCTGGCACTGCGACTGGGAGGATCTTTGGGCTCGACCTCCCCACGGCGCAGAAGGCAGGCAGTGGTCCCGCGGTCTCGCGGCCCTCCTCGGCTCTGGCCCTCCGAGTGGAAAACTTCCTCGTCCCGTCGGGATGCCCCCGGCTTTCTTCCCCCTCGTCCCATTCCAGGAGGTCGGGGAGTCCATGGGGCCCCGTGGGCGCCCGCCCGAGGGCGGCGTGTAGGGGAGGGGAGGGGAGGGGCTGGCGGAAACGAGGGACGAGCCTTGCTTGCCTGGGATTCCCGGGGGGGCCCTCCCAAGAGCAGCTTTGGCAGAAGGTCCGTGCAGGGACAAAGTGCATTGAGCTGCTTGGGGCTTGCCGTGTTTTTTTGGGGGGGTCCCCGAGGCCTCGTTGGGCTCTCGGGGCCTTTCGGCGGCCTCGTCGTTGTCGTCGTCTTGCGCCTGCTCTTCGTCTGCGAGGACGCCGTGCGCGTTGATGGCCGCAGCTCCTGCTGCTGCGATGCGGTCGCCGCTGCTGCCTTTATTGATGCTGTATCTCCTCCCCTGTATCCTGCCTCATGCCTCCGCCATCGCCATCGCCCTGGCCTCCATCTCCTCATCTTCTCCTTCTCCGTCGTCGTCTGCATCCTCCTATGCCTACTCTCTCTCCGATGTGCGTCATAGTGTTTGTCTGTATCGCTCGTCTTTGCATGTCGCTCAGCTTTTCGCTATGTATGCCCCGAGCCTTGCCAGGACTAACTATTACTTGCGTTCCATGAGACGCTTAGTTCAGATCGGCCGATACTTTGATCGCCCATCTGAAGCGTGTGCTCCTGTTAGTCATCCTGCTCTCTGTCCTCATTCATTGCCTCTTGGTGTATTGTCATACGGAGGTCCATGTGCTGAGCGCAAACGCCGAGCTCTATTCGGCATTTTCGGCCAGGAGCTTGACTGAACTCTGTAGAGGAGGTGTCATGGAAGGGCACGTGGTTTTCACGGTGAAGACAAGTGGCGTTGGTGGTGTAGAAGCGAGACGAAGAATACATGCTGCATTAGGCCTTCGGAGGCATTGGGCATGAACCACGCGTACAACGGTCGCGGCGACGTTGCTGTGACGACGTCGAAGTGTTTTGTGTGTTTCAGGCGTTTGCCTCATGTTGCGAATCCTTCCGGTGCTCGAGCGACAGCGACCAGCTGTTGGTTGCGGAATCTCTTTGCAAGGGCCCGCCCGAACGCTCGAATGTGGCCAGCGCCTCTGGCTGGGAACGGGTGTTTCCCCGGGGGGGGCTCCGCGGTTCCAATGAACAGTACATCACACATCCTGGAGGATCAAAATCCCCATCGGCACAACAGGTTTTGGATCTCAGGCGTCTGCAGGCTGCCCCATCCCAGCTCTGCAGAAGGTCTTCGGGAGCCGCTATTTCTTGCAGGGAGCAAAGGGGTTGTAGGCTTTGGTGTCCTCGCGGCAGGGTCCTGGGAATCCTGCGACGTTCGGGCGCCCACTCTGCGTCCTGGCCATGTCTGCTCGCTCTGCAGGAGGCCGTGCCTCTCTCAAGACGTGCGTGCCAGTCAGCACCAACGGCCATTGCCCCCCCCCTCTCTTCAGGGACATCGACCGCATCAAGGCGCTGTGGCTCCAGGCCTCGTACGTGCAGGCGTCTGCGATTGTGTACCCCAGTGGGGTTAGGCTAAGTCCGCGTCACTCTTCAGGAGGTGGCCACACGCCTGCATAAGAGCCACCCTGGTGCCAATAGTTTAGCTATCGCGCCTTGCAGCTTCTTCCTTACACATCAATCATCGGCAGATTTGAGCCTCTTGCTCCAAGTATTGGTGCCAGCTTGCCACACTAAGTCCTCTCGCGTTCAATGGTTAGCCTCGTGACTGGCACCGCTGCCGCGTCAATGCCGCGCCATGTGCTGTGTATGCATAACTTCGTATGTGCTTTTCCGCCCCAGTGGCATGAACGTTGTGTAAATAGTATGTTGTATTTCCACCGACCCGCACGTGTCGCCGTCAGCTTCGACATGGCCGCATCATGGTCACCCCTGCGGTTGCCAGTTTGTGCTTGTCACTCGCCACGCCACGCCTAACATAACTTCCATCTTATAGCTTGCACCACATGGCTTACACATCCGAAGTGTATCGACTTACAGTTTGGCGTTCACGCTGGCTAGCATACGTCAAATGGTCATGCCCAGTGAGTGTGTGTATACACATGGGAGGTTGGGGGGTGAGAACGAAGTGGAACGGAGAGCCTCCCACCAGGAAATCGGTTGCGGTTTCGTGTTCGTGCGTGCCGTGCGTGCGGGCGAGACGAAGCTGCGTGGGCGGGCGAGAGGAAAGTCTCCTGTGGCTGAGGCGCGGCTGGACCAAATGATTCTCCCTCCGGCAAGCGGTGGCCCGCAGTGTCCCGCAGGTGTCCCGCCGGTGTCCCGCTTGTGGCTGGGTCCCGGCCGGACCAAATGATTCTCCCTCCGGCAAGCGGTGGCCCACGGTGTCCCGCCGGTGTCCCGCCGCTGTCCCGGTGTCCCGCTGGTGCGAAAACGATAGTGAGACCGATGACGAAATCGATTGTGAAACCGATAGTGAGATCGATCGTGAGATCGATAGCGAGATCGATAGTGAGATGAATAGTGGTATCGATTGTGAGATCGAGTGATGTCGATCGGAGGTTGGGGGGTGAGATCGAAGTGGAACGGAGAGCCCCCCAACGGGAAATCGGTTTCGGTTTCGTGTTCGTTCGTGCCGTGCGTGCGGGCGAGGCGAAGCTGCGTGGGCGGGCGAGAGGAAAGTCTCCTGTGGCTGAGGCGCGGCCGGACCAAATGATCCCCCCCCCGGCAAACGGGGCCGCGCGGTGTCCCGCCTGTGTCCTGCCGGTGTCCCGCTGGTGTCCCGGTGTCCCGCTGGTGCGAAAACGATAGTGAGACCGATAGTGAGATCGATTGTGAGATCGATTGTGAAATCTATAATCAGATCGATAGCGAGATCGATCGAATGAGATCTATGGTGAGATCGATTGTGGGCTCGATAGTGAGAGCGATAGTGGGATCTATGGTGAGATCGATTAAGTAAGATCGAACGTGAGATCGATCGAGTGAGATCGATAGTGAGATCGATGAAGTGATATCGATCATGATATCGATAGTGAGATCGATTGAGTGATGTCGATAGTGAGATCGATAGTGGGATCGAAAACGAGATCGAGAGTGAGATCGATAGTGAGATCGATCGAGTTAGACTGATAGTGAGATCGATCGAGTGAGATCGATAGTAAGGTCGATAGTGAGATCGATCGTAGGATCGATAATGAAGAACGAGCGGCAACGCAACAATCTCCACTGACATCGTCAGAACAACAATCACCACTGTTGCCCATTGCTGGCCCCCTCCCCCCCCAACCTCATTATCACCCGCAGGGTGGTCGTATGAGGCGTTGGAGATGAGGTGCACCTCTACCGTTTTGCGTCTTTCTGGCCAGCTCGCTGAGATCTCGCAGCCATCAAATATCAGGATCCTCTGATGACATTCTCGTGCGCGCTTCGCGTAGACTTTAGCTTGAGCAAGTGAGCTGGCCTTCAAGTCGGCATACCCCAGGACGGTTGAAGAGTAGTCATCGCCCATCGGAATTGCTTTACGGTCTTTTGCCAGGAAAATAGATACGCATGACGTGACCAGCCTGGGGAGAACTGAGCGACAACCGCTCGTGTTCAAGTGCTGTTGTGTCTACTTTTTGGTGGTAGCACACGTATCGACCAGTCGGTAGCGTGCATAAACACCGCTGCGCAGTGCATCCACCCTTACGACCAGCAGAAGCCCGCCTCAGGCTACAGCGAGGCTTGGCTTGCTGCTGGGCGGAGGCGGAGGAAGAGGATGAGGAGGAGGGTGAGGACTTGTTTCTACCGTGGGACTCCAACCACCGTAAGGTCCTCCCCCCCTTGTGGGGTGCTAGAAGGAGCCGCACACGTGGATCTCAACCACAAGCCCAAACGTACAGATCTTGGATGCAGTATTTCAGGGTAGCTGTAAAACCTTCAGCACTTTGGTGCAATGCCCACTCCCCGAACTTGCCTGAGAACGTACATTGCTAGGAGGACGAGGGGGAAGATCAGCAGGAGGTGGAGTTGCAGGAGGATGACAGGCTGGTGGAGGATAGTGATGGGCCAAATGAGGTCGTGCATACGACTGGGGATTTGCTGGCAGGGTGTATGCCCGGCGGTCGCCCGCGAGGCTGGTGCCTCAGGACGAGAATCGGAGACGTGCGCAGCTTCTGCCTGCTTGCCACCAGACGGCGCCCTGTGCTGCCCAGATCGGCACCGCGGTCGGCAGCGAGTCCCAGCTCTGTCAGCGGCAGGGCAATCTCAGGTTGACCCCACATCCGCCGAGCAGCGTTTGTTCAAGCAAGTCAATCCGTTGTTGTTGCACCCCCCCAGCTTTACCGACTTGTGCGAGCGCCGAGCCCTCGATAACATGTGTTCAGGCACGCCTGTCGTACTCACCATGCGGCGAGTCCGTCGCTGGCCCAGCGGGCAATGGCTTGCCGAGCCTCTGGGTAGCGGAGCTTGGGTCCACTGAGATGTGGTGCTCTCGACGGCAGGGCTCGCCTTCCAGGCCTTGGCACACCGACTGCGGCAGGTTCGCGTCGTGTCCAGGAGGAGAAAAAACACAGACACAGTTCATCGTCGATTCCCCAGAAGATGTAGGAAAATATGAGCAGTGGGGGGGAGACAGAAACCCAGAGAATATGGGAACATATGGGGAATCCTTTTATTTGTGTGTGTATCTATTTGCGTGTCCCCAGGGCCCCCTTCCGCGGCGGCGTCCCCAGCGCGGGCGCCCCAGGTCGACCACCGCCAGCGGGCCCGGGACTCGGCCGACGCCGCCCGGCAGGCCCTCTCGGAGCGTCCTGTGGAGCGCTCTGGGAGCGGCCGCGGCACCCGGGACCTCGGCGGATCCGCCGCGTCTCGGAGGGGTCTTCGACGCCTTCCAGTGCAGTTTTGCCCCGAACACCTGGCCGCGTCGCGACGGGGACGAGGCATGGGAGGGGCTTCCGGGGACGACCTCCACGGGCTCCCCGTGCCGCGGCGGCGGCGGGAGGGGCCCAGAACCTCGAGGCTGCAGGTGTCGCCTGGCTCCTTCTCCTGGCCTCCTTCTTCTGCCATCCCTTCCTCCGTTCTTCCTCCTCCTTCTCCTCCTGCTCCTCCTCCTGCTGTCTCTCTCTCTCTCTCTCTCTCTTTCTGTCACTCTCTATCTCTCTCTCTCTCTCTTTTTCCATCTCTCTCTCTCTCTTTCTCTCTCGTTGTCTATATATATATATATATCTGTGTGTACACGTATGTGTGTGTATATATATATCGGCCTGTGGGTTTGTCGACGGCGGCCATCTCCCCCCCCCGCCCCCACGGGCAGTTGCCCCTGAGGGTGGCCGATCAAACTAGGGTGCGGTGTGGGCTGCGGCACACGGCGGCATTCCTGGTCGACGGGGGGGTACCTAGAGGTGAGGGAGACAAGGACAAAGGGGGGGGGACAAGAGGAGAGGCAGAAGAGGAGAGCGAAGACAAGAGGGGAGCGAGGAGGGGAGCGAGGAGGGAGGCGGGAGAGGAGGAAGAGGGGAGCGAGGAGGGGAGGCGGGAGAGGGGAGCGAGGAGGGACCGCCCCAGCCCCAGGGAGCCCTGGAGGTCCCCAGGGGGGGAGCTCTTGGGGTGGGTGGAGGCTTCTAGGCCACGGACCTTGGTCCCTGATGGTCAGTAGACGTCGGTCCTCCTCCTCAATGGGCTCCTCCTCCGCCTCCTCCTCCTCCCTCAATAGGCTCCTCCCCCCCCTCTTCCTCCTCCTCCTCCTCCTCCACCTCCTCCTCCTCCTCTTCCTCTTCCTCCCTCAAAAGTCTCCTCCTCCTCTTCTCTCCTCCTCCTCCTCCTCCTCCTCCTCCTCCTCCTGTCCTCCTCCTCCTCCTCCTCCCTCCTCCTCCTCCTCCTCCTCCTCCTCCTCCTCTTCTTCCTCAATAGTCGTGGTCGACGTTGGTCCCCCTCCTCCTCCTCCTCCTCCTCCTCCCCCTCTGGCGGCGGCCGCGGTGAAACTGCGGTTTGGATTGGCAGCGACACGGGGGGGGCGGGCTGTGGCCGTGGTGGGCAGGCTCCCTGTACAGGCGAGGTCCGACGGCGGCTGCGTGGCGCTTCGTGCTGGAGGTGGTCTGGGCGCGTGCCTGCGGGTCGCACCCTGCACCTCACGAGTCGCCCAGCGACCTCGTGTGGACCCTTTCTAGGCGGTGGTGGTGGTGAGGGCCCAGAGGCGAATATCACAAAGCGGCATCGCGCTCCGCGCGCCAGGGAGGGGGGTCCAGCGGGGATCCAAGAAATCCGCGCGGACCGTCCAAAGTTTATATGTTCATGCCGCTGTTCTGTTCCTCTACGGAAGCAGCAAAGCGGGGCGCAGGCGGGCGGTTGCGCAAGGTGCCGCGCTTCTACGACAGCAGTCGTGCGAGCTCAACCCAGGGCTGAAGTGGGCTAAAAGTCTCATGCGCTCCCTCCTCCTCCTCCTCCTCCTCCTCCTCCTCCTCCTCCTCCTCCAAGCAAGATGGCAGTTGTTTTACTGGGGAGGTCAGGAAGTAGAGGGCGGGGCGTGAGAGTACGGGCAGCGTGGAGCCCTCTGGCTTCCTTGACGCAAGAAGCGCGATGGCGAGGGGCCGGCACCTGGACGCCTCTGCATGCCGTACTCGCCACGGGTTGAGGGAGGGTGACGGGGGTGACGGGGGATATGATATGCTAGAAGAGGAGGAGGAGGGAGATGGTGAAGTGCAGAGCCGGCCCGCGGCGACCTGCTGCGAGTCCGCGGCGCTCGCGCGGGGGAAGGGCGAGCGGCTCTCGCTCGCTCGCGCGCCTCGTCGGCCCCCAGCAGGCCTCCCTTGCCCCTCCAGGCCCCCGTCCCGTGCCCCACAAGAGGGAGGGAGGAGAAGGCGAGCGCGAGAAGTGGACGGGGTCGAAGTGCGGAAAGAGCGGGCGGTGAGGGAGGGAAGTGGGAGGCTGGGAGAGGGTACTTCAGCGGGTGGTGCTGGCGACGCTGTCAGCGGAGGGCACCACGGACGCCTCCGCCTTCCTGTCGTCGATCGGGATGCCGAGCTTCGCGCGATCGATGACCCGCTGGACGATTTTCGTGGGATTCGAACTGCACGTAGCCGTAGCCTCCATGAACTAGACAGACCCAAGGAGGCCGAAGGTAGCGTGGAGGCCCGTGTCGTCAACTCTCGGGTCGAGGCTCTTGACCACGAGGGCCACCTGGCGGTCCTCCGGGGGCCGCTGCGCCACGGCTGGTCCGCGGGCGCGGGCGGGCTCGTCTGCGCCAGTCTGGCGACTGGCCCGCAGTGCTCCCAGCGTGCGGTCGTGGGATCGGGCCGTCGGTGTCCGGCCTGCTGGGCAGTCGAGGCGGCCACCTCTGTGCGGCACACGGCCTCGGCGAAGCGCTGTGCCTCCGCCTGGAGCGCCGAGGCATCGAGGCCTGTCTGGGACCTCGCCCGTGCCTCGGCGAGTGCCCGAGCCGCCGCGGTGTTCACCTGGTCCGGCTCTGGGCAGGCCACGCCAGGCGCTGGCTGCCTAGGCGGCTGGTTCGTCTCGGCCTGGCTTCCCGTCGAGTGCCCCTGTGCGGTGGCTGGCGTAGCTGGGAGATGGACTTCGCCCCAGCCCACGCTGCCAGAATGAGCAGGGACGAGCTCGGGCGCCTCCTGGTGGTGCTCAGTGCCGCTGGTGGCCCAACACTGGAGCTGGCCCGGCACGAACTCTGCAGCGTCCGCTCTGAAAGCGCCGTGGATCATCTGCGGCATGTCCTCCTCGTCCCTGTACAGTCGGGCATCTGATCAAGAACTCTCCTCTCGAAAACCTGGGCCAGCGTTTCGTAACCGACTTGCCCGAAAGCTGGCCCAGCTTCTCTTGGGCACATCCGCTCCTCCAGCGTGAACGGCAGAAAGTGGTCCGGGCTTGTTTATTAAGAAGCTCCGAGGAAGGTGGCCCAGATTTCTTAAGTGATATTGCGAAGGCCTTACGGCTGGTGCCGCCGACCCTGAGGTTGGGGAGGAGGGCGCGGAGCATGGGAAGGAAGATGAAGAGGGGGACAGGAGGAAGAGGCGGATGAGGCGGATGAGGCGGAGTAGGAGCACAGGGGGGGAATGGATAGGAGGAGAGTGAGGCGAGCAGGGTCGCGGGGGGGGGGGGACGAAGGAAGGGCTATTTTTTTGGATCGTCTGCTCGGCTGGACATGTTCTCCGTGCTGGAGCGGTCCTTGGCAGTGCCTCCCTTGCGCGGTCGCCTGCCTCGGCGGGCGAGCAGGTGCCGCCCCCCCCGCGAGACCAGGGCGGGCTTCGGCGGGGCCGCGCGTTGCGGCCTCCCAGGCGCGCTGGGAGGAGTACACATGGGTCATTTCTAATTCTTCGAAAGTTCTTTGATTTTCTGGGGGGCCAAGATCCTCGCATTCCTCATTGTTCTATCGTGGGCCTCTTCCTGGCCACCAGGGGGCCAGGAGCAATTAGACACGAGCACACTTAGAAAGGAGCACGAGTAGGAATGAGGGACGTGTAGGGGCGCCCGAAGGGTGGGCAGCCCCCCGTGTCTCAGAAGCCGGGCGAAGGCCGGCACACCCGTGGCTGCTCAAGCGGGGCTCCGGGAACTGGTTGCTCTTTGCTTCCGTGAGGAGCAGCCCGTTGCTCCTGCTCCGTGCGCCGAGTGATAGTACAGTTGGGGCTCTGAATAAGGAACCCTTTTCGTTGGGGAGGGGCTCCGTGTTCCTTCATTGTTTTCATTTTGCCCCAGGTTATCCTTGGATTTTCGATGGGAAGTCGAAGTTGAACTTCTGGAGAAAAGGGGCCTCGTTCCATATTTAGGGTTCCTTAGGTCAACGTCCCCGACTGTATCCGGGAGTCTGTGTTGGTCTTCCAGGAAGACCGCTGTTGCAGCCACGGGTTTGCCAGCCCTCGCCCAGCTTCCGAGCGTCGTGTCCAAATCGGTGTCCTGGCTCGACATCGCGGGCTCCGCGGCCGCCGTGGCGCGAGGCGGCCGGGCGCCGCGCATGGCCGCTCGCCATCCTGGGGTCCCCCCGCCCCTTGCTGACGGGGCTGGGCGGAGAGGGTACCCCCCTCCGAGAGGCAGCGGCTTGCTCCTGCTTCTCCCACTCCCTTTCCTCCTCCTCCTCCTCCTCCCTCCTCCTCCTCCTCCCTCCTCCTCCTCCCTCCTCCCTCCTCCTCCTCCTCCTCCTCCTCCTCCTCCTCCTCCTCCCTCCTCCTCCTCCTCCTCGCTCCCCTCCTCCTCCTCCTCTCCTCCCCGTCCCTCCTCCTCCTCCTCCTCCTCTCCTCCTCCTCTTCCTCCTCCTCCTCCTACCTCCTCCTCCTCCCCCCTCCCTCACCCCCCTCCGCTGCTCCTTTCCAACTCGCCGTTCTCCTCCTCCTTAATCAATACGGGGCTGGACCCCTCCCCCTTCTCCCGACTTATGGACCGAAAAAAAACCTTCCCTCCCTCCCTCCCTCCCTCCCTCCCTCCCTTCTCCCCCTTCTTATCCTCAGGAGGGGCGAGGCGCAGTGCCTCCCCGCGCCGGGGCAGGTGTGCGGCTCATGGAGGCGGCTGTTCGACCAGGGGAGGCTCCAGAGGCCAGCGCGCCGCCCGGGTCTGATGCGTGGCTGCATCCTCCCTCCCTCGCCTCCTCCCTCCTTCCCTTCCTCCCTCCCTCGGAGGATGTGGAGGAGGAGGAGGAGGAAGAGGAGGAGGAGAAGGAGGAACAGGAGGAGGAGGTGTGGCGCGCGGCCACGTGCGAGGAACAGGAGGAGGAGGAGGAGGAGGAGGAGGAGGAGGAGGAGGAGGAGGAGGAGGAGGAAGAACAGAAATATGGGGATTAAAACAAGATCTTCGTGGGGCAGCCCTCTTTTCCGACGTTGGGCGCCCCTGGCATCTTGGCCTTTCTCCAGCCTTCACGAAGGTCGGCGCAACTTTCATGTGGTGAGAGGTAAAACCTTGGTAACGAGTTGGCAAGGGAGCGCTCCACCCCCTGTAGGTCAGGCAGTGCTCCTTGCAGGCCAAGCTCTGGCCGGGCACGGTGCTCGTTCGTTCGTCGGTTTCCCGGGGCTGCCTCGAGCCACTCCGCAGCCGTTCTTGTCGATTGGCCCCTGGCCAGGATGCAGCGACTGGAGGCCGAAGACGCCGCGGACAAAACAAGTCGGGCTGTGGTGAGCTCCCCAGGGAACCTCTGGGAGAGGCGTCTTCGAGAGCATCCGATTTTTGAGGCCTCCTGGGGCCAGTTGGGGGCCTTTGTGGAACCTGTTCTGAGCCTCTCTTGTGGCCTCTCATGGCCTCCTGTGGGCTTCCTTGAGGCCTGCAAGCGGTCTTGGAAGTCTTCTCGGGGCGCCGTCGCATTTACATGTTTTCCCCAACCA